CATGTGTTCATAAAAAATAGGTGAATCCTTAAAAAATAAAAAAAAAAATATTTTACATGAAATAAAATTACCAAAATACCCCTAAAAAGTTTTGAGGGGTATTTTGATCATTTTGCTTTTCACAGATAATTTTTTTTATATTTTTATTAGGTGCGCCTTGATGAGAAGAACACACACCTAAAATTTTAAGTGATTTGGATTTGTAGAAAAAAAATAAAATTTAAGCATTACCGGACATCTGTGATCGTCAGATCGGCCCAGATTCAATCTGATAATTAAACAACCCAACAAAACCCAAAGTAACAACCAACTCAATTCAAACTGTGACGGTGCATGCAAAAAAAGAACGAGTTTGCAATAGGAAAAAGTGACTGTGCTTACGAAAACGAAGCAAAGAACAAGAGTGAAATAGGGACGGCTGCAACTCATTCCACGACTATGGACGAACACACATGGACCACGATCAAGAGAGACGAAGCAACCCCTGTGAGCAAGCAATAGATCGCTGCTAATAGATTGGGCTGCTCTGATGACGAAGCAACCACGTTGAGCAAGCAATCGATCGTTGCTGATAGATCGGCATGCTCCGTTACCATGCTCTAATACCATGTTAGAAACTGTATTTTTGCATATGTATTTCTATATATTTAGGCCTTAGACCCCATGGAATATTGTTTCAAAATACTCCAGAGAACTCTCTCTTTATTGATTAATAAAGAATATACAAGACCCGTATAAATATAGTAACAGTTCTGGATAGACAGTAACAGTTGTAGATAGACACCAATATTTATTGATAATTACTAACTAATATTGTCTAGACACCTAATCTTGACTGATCAAGATATATATACCCATACAAATAAATATTTTTACTAATATGTATCAATACTAATACGAGATATATATATCTATATTAATATGTATCAGTAATGATATATATCAATACTAACATGAGATATCTATACACTAACACGCATATATATAAATGTGGGTCTCTCTATTTTTTAGAGAATTTTAAGACTTAATTTTTAAAGACATATAATCTCTAACATAGAGATCATGAATATGAAAAAATAAATAAATTTTAAAAACTAAAAATAAAATGAATATGAAAAAATAAATAAATTTTAAAAACTAAAAATAAAAATTCTTATAAAAAAACATGAAACACCACTTTGACATAAAACAATTTTCCGGTTCCCAACTTGAAAACTAAAGCAAAAGGATATAAAAAAATCAATCAAGTATATAATTCGAAGTGACACCGTCCAATAAAAAAAGGGCAAATGGCCATCCTTATCCACTCATAAATTTGGCTTTAGGCAAACTTGGCCTTTTCCCCATTCAAACCACTACCTAAGAAAGAGAGAAAGTGCCGGCTCTCTGTCACTCCTAAAGTCTATAGAAATTATAGAGCGCATGTACGGTGCTCTCACGGGAGCACACTGTTCATATGCTGCCTCAATCAAAACACTTAGTTTTTTTTTTTTTTACGTCTTAAATTCTGAAAACCAAATAGAAATTACTGGATATTTATCTTTAAAAAATATTTTGATTTTGAGCTATATGGCACTTAAATATAGCCCTTCAAAAATTAGACGATCTATTCAATCTTTTTTTCTATTATATAGAGAGTGATTTTGAATTTTCCGTTTTTTGTTAAGACTGGGTGGTTGAGATTCCATCTTCAAAATTTGAAATCCAAAAAGTATCCCTAACATGTGTTTTGCCCGAGGGAGTAAATGAATAGTACGTAAATATTTTGGTTAAATTATTTAACGGTTAGTCTCTAAACTCTTTTTTAAACTCCAAAGTTTAAACTAAACACTTGAAAGAAATAACACCGTACGCTACTAGTCAAACACAAATATAAAAAAAATTTCGTTTACAAAATAAACATCTTGTTGGGATCTGACCAGGTTACGAAACTGCCCCTGGCTTTCTACAAAAACCGCTCCACTTTTGGAGGGGTATTTACGTCATTATAATGCGATTAAGGGTGATTATGGTAGGCATCGGACTAGAATCCACTTGCCGTTGAATACCTCCAATAATACGGCGTCAATAATTGGCAATTAAATATTGACTCCTTTATAATTAAATACTTTGCGGCATGAAGAATCCGTGATATTTTGAATATAAAAAACCTATGTGACGTCTCCCTTCTCATCTCGGCTTCAACGAAGGTGACTTTTGGGTTTAGATTAATGCATAAGCTTTTATTGAATCAGATCAAATAATAGATCAATTGATCTGCCTAAAATAATGCACCAAGTTATTCTATATAAAATATGTTCTTTCTTTACTATACATTAGGCAACTTGAAAAAGTCCCATAACTGCCCTCAACTTTTCTAGATGATAAGAGAGACCCTAGGTTTTTTTATGGGGTCTGTAATATTTGTTTAGATAATAATTTGAGTAATGATCTTATAGAACTTTCATCTATCCATGTGTATAGGACGTCAGAGGACTATCATTAAAATTGGTATGGATCTTTAAAAAAAGTTATCACATAAGTGTGAGATTTGATTTTTCTATAAATACATATCAAATTTAATTGTGATACTTAGAGGTACTACACATATAGGTTGAAAAAGGTCCTATATGATCATTTCTCTAATAATTTGAGTCTATTTGATTGTTAGCGTAGAGCTGGCAATAGGCCAGGCTCTAGCCTTATTTCCCTAAGGGCCAAACTGGGTAAAATTCAATAAAAAATAAAATATAGGGCAGGCCTATCTTGGCCTAACCCCTACCCAACCCTCAAGCTACATTGCCCTAATTTTTAGGATCCGGCTAGCCATTGCCTCACCTATGTTAAAGTTTAGCAATTTGGGAAGCATTTATGATTTGACGTTTCTCAATTACTCAATTATTTTTAAGGATATTGGCCAACACCTCGGAGAATGTACTTAATACGATGCACATTTTTTTATATTTAGATACTTTTGATTTGTAAATCAAAATTCTACAAGCAATGGCATTTTTTGCTATTAAGAAGAATAGAATGGATATTTCTATGAGAAACTACTAACATCATATTAGGGGCACGGATTCTATACGGCAACTTTTATATTGTAGAAATGCGGGCTTGACAAATAAATACATTTCCTAAATATAATTTGATCTTAATTTTTTAGAGATATATAATCTTTAACTTAGAGATC